TCTCTCTCTCTGTTGCTCTCTCTTTATCTCTCTCTCTCTCTCTTCTCTCTCTCTCTCTCTCTGCTTATCTACCTGTGCCCCTGCCTCGAATTTCCCCACTACACCGGCGGCAATTGCTATAGTTGCCCTCTGCTCTTCTTGCCCTGACACCCCTCTAAATTGAATGCCGTTCACAGAATAAACCACCGTTTCTCCTCTACCAGGAATGCTTCTGGGCCCTTCTCATGAAATTCCGTGATGCATATGTATTTCTCTTTGTCCAGTGATCCTCCATCCTCTTGATAACTCTTCTTTGAAGGGAACTTTTCTTTTGTTTAACATGTCACAGTGCCCCCCCCCCCAAAATCTGATTAAAACCACTGCAATACTCGCCTTACCCCCAAATAAAATGTTTGTTTGACTGCTCCACTGACGTAGTGCTCTCGTTTTGCAGGCGTCCAACCCTGGACAGTTTGAGAGTGATGTGGACGTTAACTGGCAGAAGGGCTCCAATCAGGATTCCATCTGGCATTCGGTAAGCTGTACGATCATTAGACGATACAATCGCCGGCAATACGCTCGTCTGGCAATACGCTCGTCTGGCAATACGCTCGCCTGGCAACACGCTCGCCTGGCAATATGCTCGACTGGCAATACGCTCGCCTGGAAACAGGCTTGCCTGGTGGTGCAAGCGTGTGTGAATTATATATGGCGTCCCCTACATTTGTTGTGTGGTCACAACATCTATAGCTTGTAACTGTTTCGTGACATTGTACTTCTGTCATTTCCCGTGCATTGTCAGGTACGTTCCCTGTGCATACATGTAAGGTTTTCTGTACATTACTGTACATAGAAGCGCATTGCCTGTATTTTTATGGTGATGTTGCCAAAGCTTCAGTATAGCATAGGGAGTCCCCCTGATTATGATGTCTGTCCACCGCGTCATCTGTCGTCCGGTATGCGAGGACGGTATCGCGAAGACAGTGCGATTGTTTACGCCTTGTTCCTCTGCAGGGTCGCGTCGGGGTCAACACAGACCGGCCGGACGAGTCCCTCGTCGTCCATGGCAACTTGAAGGTCACGGGTCAGGTCGTGCAGCCGTCGGACATGAGAGTGAAGCGAGACATACAGGAGGTGAGATAGCGATGTATAGGTGGCGCTGCAGCTGTTTATATATATATAACGAGGTAGCATATATGTAACACAAATGTGTACGGCGAGACATTGTACTACAGAAGTGTAACCTAACCCTAACACTAAACCCTAACCCTAACTCTAACCCTAAGCGCCTAACATACCCAATCATAAAAAATATAAACATAATACTAAACAACCTATAAAGCTACCTCGGGTACATATCTGAGTACTGTTAGCGACAAGACGACGCCTTCGTGCCTCAGCTACCCCTCACCTAATGCATGCGAGGGGAAGCGAGCATGGACAAAGCGTCGGCGTATCACGCAACTCTACTCCGTCAGAGTGGCATGGGCAATAAATCGCTCCCGTCCCCCTTTTGTTTAAATTAATTTTCTTCTCTTGTGGACTTACTGAAATCATTCTGAAGGTACCACTTCTGCATCTCACCCACAGACCAATCGCCCCCGAAACATCGCATCAGCGAAATCCGCAATTACCAGAAAACTGTGACACGAACACATCTCTGCTGTCCCGTACATTTGAGCAGATGAGTGATTTAGTTCAAACCATAATTTTATTTTAATTAAATCTTGAATGTAATATTTTTCATTAATGAATAATATATATATATTATATTATATATATTATAGTATAGATTAATAATTAATAAATATTAATTATTATTTTTTCAAGTAATTAATATATTATAATTAGAAGTTGAATGATGTTAGTTGTAATCGAACCTCGACTGTCGTCTGGGCGGCGGCGTTGCAGGCAGGCGTGCAGGGCGTAGGGTGTAGCTTGCGGCACTCTGCGCCTCTGCCTCGTATAATTTTATTGGCCAAACTGTATCTGGTACGGTTTCTCATGTTTCGCCGGTCCCCCGCTTCGTCATCTGGCCCCTGCTCGCTTGTGCCACATCGAGAGTTACAGTGTGCGCCGATGTGCGATGAGCTGGGGCGACGAAAGCGATCCATTACCGCTGTCAAGTGGCATTCCCTGGCCGTGACGTTAACATTTTTTAAATTGCGACATAGATTTCTTATATCAGTTGCGAGTCTGCTTCTTGAATATTCGCACTTTCGTTCCCAGCCGGCGTTTCGAAATCCGATCAGGCGCCGTTACACAACAATTTCGAGGCCCGCCAAGCAAACAGTCATCGAAAACAAAGTTGGGCCACGTCAGTGGGCAGCGCGTTTGGTGGGACTCAAACATCACAGTTCTGTTAGACTGAAACCAGATCAACATCAACCGAGATGATATTATGAAGCAGCGAGAGAAAAGACCAAAAACACTGTCTGCAAGGACGGAGATAGCAACGATGGCTGCGCTGGAACGACTGACGAAAAACATGCCGCGATAGACAGAGCAAACAGGGTGGCCTACTGAGAACGTGACATTGTGCTGAAGGAGAGGATGCCGACACAGACTAGTGATCGGACAGATGACTAGTATAGACACAACCAGTTAACGTTCGGCCGTGGCGACGCGACTGGACAACATTAACTGGAATTGAGCAGACATTGTGGCTGATGGAGAGAGCGACACGGATGTGGATGGAACCAGAGGCGACGGCAGGACGGCGGCGAGTCTCACCAGAAGGCCATGAAATCTGACGAGTGACGATGCTGACTGGCATGAAGCGGCTGCTAGCACCAGGCCGGTGTTCGCCGGAGGCTGGTTGGCGGGAGGGACGACCCCGAGGCTTGAGCGCTTGACCTTTCCTCATCGTGATCGTCATGCTGCGAGCTCGTAACAGAGTATAGAGAGCTCATTAATGTAGTTGTAGGCCACCAGACGCGGGGTAGCATCCACGATGGCGAGGATGCTGCAAGCAGAAAATGCTCCCCTATGTCGTTATCTGCGATATTAAGTCGAGTGTCGATGGACAAGTCTATATTCAGCTAAATATAATGGATCCTCGTCCCCATCCTCAGATAACTACTGTCGATACACTCAGAGATTCCCTCCATCCTACTACGATTGTGACCCCCTTCTCCCTCCTGACA